GTTATTAAATCCAAATAAAGTAAACATTATTTTGTAGATTTAGACACGGGCTTTCAGGTCGTAAATTCATTTTAGTCATTAAATTAACAAGAACGCTAGATTATACGAGTTAGTAGGGTATCAAATTGAAATAAAATAACAAAATTAAATATGAACACGTTAATGATAAATGACTTTCCGCTATCAGTATTAATGACTATCCGCTACTCAGAATAATTAAAATTGCCTGAACTACATGTGAAGAATCTTTCTATATAACCCCTTGAATGGTCTTATTCACTACGGTTCTCGAAAACCGATCATTTAAAATATTTTGTTCAAAATACTATCATGCCACAACTTGAGAGCATTTTGTTCTTCACGATTTGCTGTAGCACTGATATGACGTCGTATACGTCATATCATATATTATTATTATATATATTATATATATTATATATTATTTATTATACCTCATAAATATTTATGTAAAAAAATCGTTGATTGGACAAATTATGTCACGCACATATTAAACAATAACTAAAGATCTAAGAAGGGATGATAGTCATGTGATATATCATTGGAATCTTGAGTTTATGAGCATTTTTATGATAATATAATATAATATATTTTCAAAGTTTTTATTCATTCTTTTCTTCCCTGGATTCAGCCTACTAAAATTCAAAGGAAAATAACCGAGATGGGACAATTCTCTGTCACTCACGTTTAAAGGAAAATCTCATACTTAGCTTGATCTTAAGATGTTAAACGTGATGAATCATAAAATATGAGCTATGGGCATTCTCTACATACCAAATTTGTTATCATTTATTTTCCTGATATCATTTTAGACTGCTATTAAAAACACCCTACGGTCAAGACAAGTAACTTAGTCAACATTCAATATTCGTATGTTCATCAATATTTACTAAGAATGGTGCCACAATTGAAGTAAACCTCTGGTTAATTATTTTCAATAAACCTATCAGCAAACGTGTAAATGATAATTTTGATGTTCTGTTACATATTGGTGAAGCAATCTTTGGGATATGACCTAAATTTCTGATTTTCAACTGTGTCCCTGTATACCCCTACTTCAAAAGATATATGTTATTCGTCATTTTTCATTATGAACCAACCATAAATGTATTTTTTCTTGTTTACATACAGAATGAACTTTCGGTTTTCAAATATTGCAAGACGGCACTGCATTTATTTGTTCAGGATATCGAGCAAACAAATGCGTGTCAATTTACACTGTACTATCCTACATACTTATATTTCAAGGGTAGTTTTGAAGAATAATCAAGAAAATCCATGTTTTCAAATGGATTCATCCTTGTCAAAGAACGTGAATGAGGATATGCCGTTTGAAAAACTCACAACATGTTTCAAGTTCTTACAATTCTCGGTTATAAAAAATAATTTGAAAGTTGTGATTTCGAATGTAATATCCTACTCAATGCAATTTGTTGATATTTGTGAATTTTTTCTTTCGAAGTGCACATTGCTGGATAACAGAACCTTGCCATGTTCGAGATGCACGAAATGTGTTTTGTTAATACTTGACGTCGTACGGATATTTGGATGTGATTGACGTTTTCGTTAATCTCCTACCACTGTAATTTCCAACTTAATTTTTGGAAGCCAAATGTGATAGTCACGAATTGATATTTAAGTCACACGTTGATGCATACATCATGTGTGTACATTAACTGTCGAATCACATGCCAACTTACATTTATATAAATATCCACAATTAACTCAAATCATCAATTCTCGAAACGGTTTATTATTTAACCTGGTGAATTTAATGTTTCATTTTGATTCATAATTTTGGTATCGGATTTGAGTATGCTATAAGTCGAGGCTTAAACAAAGCAATAAAATTACGTGAAACCTTTTGTGAAAATTCAAACGATTTTTCAAGAATCCTCCTTCAAAGTGATACCAAAGTGCTCCCCAGGAGTGGCAATTTCGTCTTGTGTAATCAAAATAATAGAGCGGGTGGTTTGAATTTTTGTTTGAGTTTATAGTTTACATCTATAAATTGAAAAACAAATCGCCTAATTGAGAGGTACATGCATATTTTGGCGATCTATCATTATAAAGGGCAAAATATTGTGCAAAAACAGGAGTTGACACGCTTACATTTGAAAATGAAATTTCCTACATAATCGTCGACTCATGTTTAAAAGTCATGAAAACAAGGTTGAACACAAAACATTGACCCAGTTACTGTCTATTCAGCATGGGTTCACTAAGGGAAATATTATTAATGACTTAAATCGTTTACAGTTAAGTTGTATTCCAATCTTGGCTAAGAGACGTCATGGAGAATAATCAGAATATCACTGATTATGAAAGAAATAAAGCACACGTACAAAAGTTCCTTACTCAGTCAAAGATTAGTAAAATAATATACTGGGAATTTGTTCAGAATTTAGAAAAGAATTCAAAATATATAGAAGGATGGAATAAAGATCTGAATTTGTCACTTAATCAAAATGATTGGAAGAAGATAAATAAACTTAACAAACTGAGTAACTATGAACCTAAATTATCATCCTTCACTTATAAAGTCCTTCACAGATTTTTAGCAACTAATACATACCTAAAAATGTGTGGACTCGTAGAGTCAAACATTTGCACTTTTTGTAAAGCAAATCCTGAAACGATTTGCCATCTTCTGTATGAATGTACTATTGCAAGTGCCGTATTAAATGACATTAAACAATGGCTTCCTTTAGAGCTCACATTGCTATGCACTAAACAAAATGTATTGATAGGACCTGAGAGTATAAATGAGAAGACAATCATCTTAAATAATATGCTATGTATTTTTAAAAGGTATGTTTATTTGTGCAAATATTCTATGCTAAAACCAACACTTAAAGGTTTTATAAGTAATGTGAAGGAATATTTTATTATGGACAAACGGGTTGGCAGAGGCGATAAGTGGAAAATCATGGAAACAAAATTAAACAAATGAAACTGATGATTTTTTCCTTTAAATAAAAAAATGCCAATGGTATAACGTCTCTTAAGACGAAATATTTAACCACTGTACTGTATTGTAAAATTGTTAAATGTAGGTTTACCATGTAACTGTACTGTAATTGTTTTTTGCAATTGCTTTAACATGCTTATTCTTTGAAATAAAAAAATTATAAAAAAAAAAAAAAAGTTGTATTCCAAGAAACTTATCAATTTAGAAATGCAAATTGTTCAATTTTGTTTTTCAATTATAAAAAATGGCACCTGTAGAGAACAACGTTTTCAAAATATTTTAAAACGGAGATATTTACTTATGCAACATTCATTGGCATGTGTCAGGGAATAAATAGGAAGAATATGCATTTGATTCTATATCTTGTTCCTGAAGGAGTTTGTTAAGGAGCGGTATATCTTAACGTACTTTTATCATCCCGAACTCAAACATTTCGAATACTTATTTCGAGAACGCTTTGTTGAGAATCGATTCGAGATGTACTCAAAATTAGTGCGTTAAAATGTGTATTATCATCTAAATAACCACCTCGCAAATTATTTTGGAAATCAAAGATGTACGATTTTTGAGATTTTTATTTTCGAACGTTGACTTACTTACTTGGCTTGACTGCCTAATCAATTTTTACAACGTAAAAATATTTTAGGACAAAAGAATACTGAATTTGACCAAGTCATATTACCTGGTCCAAATACATGCAAAGCACTGAAACTGAACTTAAAATTATGTAGTATATGTAGTATAGGGGCAATGCTTTTATGACATTCTAAAAAAATCTAGTTGAATGTCACTAGAAAAACATAATTTCGTGTATTGAAATGACGAGAGTCTTTGAAACCCGCCATATTTCTATCAATTTTTTTCTTGGTACAAAACAGACACAAGTTGCAAAATGTTTGCTATGTAAACAAAATAAATACAAAACATATATTTTTAACGTTAAGTTCTAATTAAACATATATAGAATAAGTTTTAATGACATCTTTTTCATAGGTTTGATTTTTGAATAAGATAATAAGGGCCTAAGGTCCTTAACCAACATTTGTTTTTCGAGTTTTACACATTTTTACTATTTCTTGGGCATCCAAGAAGGCGGATATGCATGGATGACGTCACAAGATCACGTGACGTCATTAACGCCCATCAGCAATTGTTGTTCCATACCAAATTTGAACTAAATTGGTTAAGGAATAAAAAAGTTATGACCAAATTACCATATTTCAAAATTATCAAATGCAACGTTTTACATGGTAAAAATGTACACTTTAAAACTCAATAGAGTCTTTTAAGCGTCCTTTATCTAAAAAATAAAAATTAAATATTAATACACCATATAATTTTCATTTCAATTACCTATGTTTTGATATCTAACATGTTATATATTATGCTAAAACCGTTGTTCAAGAGTCTTCCGAAAATAGATGTAATATTACGTGTTAGTAATTCTGTAAATGTACATGAGATCGGGACATAGTATGTCTGTATTTGTATTTTCAACAAAATATTTTGATATTAGGTTTCCTTTCTGATATGTTAATAGTAAATTACAAATGGTCTTTTATACCATTTTATTCTGCTAGAGGCACTATCTAAGATAATAATTATTGCTTTTTTAAATCAACATAAATATGAAATTTAGAAAGAGATTACGTGTGTGCTTTGCCATTATAAAGCTGACCGATGCTTAGTTCATGAATTTGTGTTTGCTTTTCATATATTTTGTTGGTGACTTTCAAGGAGATTTTGTTTTTAAAATTACGATTGAACCCATCATCGCATGCCCCGTAAGGAATATTCCGAATATATATGAGCAATAAATACCTTGCAACTAAAAGCAAACCCACCTCAAGTCCAAACCATTTTGACTTCTTTCTGTATATCTATTTCCAAAAACGGAAATTAGGGCTAAGTACTGTCTGAGCTAAAGCAACAAAACAGAATCGTGAAATGTAAACTTGAATTCAATTTGAATCATGAAGCATTAAACGGGGACAGTTAAATTATTGCTTACCATTTATGACACGCAGGACCCTCCAAAGCAGGAAAACTATAAGAAGTGCAGATGCATCCTCTCCTTTCGTTCCCCCGGCCCCGTACATCAGTACCAAGTCTATGGTGAACGAGGCTATAATTATTATAGCATCAAATATCTAAAATTGAAAATTTGTACAAGTTATAACGATTATAGGAGGGTTAATCCCAAAGGTCTACTTACTGTAGCAAGTTCTTTCGGACATACGAGGGCCGATCAGAAAGTAATGGATCGTTGGCTCTAACTTTGCAAATGTTCAGTCTTTTTAATGATTTTTTGACACAATATAGCCGTATATATTCAGTTAAAAGGTGTGTGAGTTTCATTGATATATGGCATCATTGCCCTCTTGTCTTGGTTGCCATGGTAACCGATGTCACGACAAGGTGGATATGCTTTTAAATGCTTTTTGTTTAATTTTCTTTAATTTCTAGGCAATGAATGTATGAGTCAAAAAATTCAAGTTTGAATTCCTTCACAAATATAACTGATTTACCGGTACTTTTTATGTCGTTGAGATGTCATAGATATGATGTCATTTTGTGTCCTGACACTCTATTGTCTTGAAAGTAGGTTCCAGAATAACATATGCTGCATGCCATCTGGGGGAAGCGAGGCCTTCGCTTTCTCAGGAAGTTCCGTCTTTTTCACAACAATGCACCCCACACAGAGCAAGTCTAACCCAAGCTATGATTGATACAATTGGTTGTGGGTGTGTGAGCCATGCACCATACTCCCCAGATCTGGCTGGATGTGAGTTTTATCTTTTTCCAACAGTTGAAAACTAATTACGCGAAATTCACTTTGAAAATAGTGAAGAAGGCATCCACCAGTTTACCCATGACTTTTACAAAGTCGATAAAGTTGGACTGTTCCATGTTCTATTTGAATATTGGGTTAAGCGTCATAGGAAGTATGTAGTTCAAAAAGAAATAACTTTGAAGGTGTAGAATTGATCCAGGAGTAATGTGAACATAAAATAGTGTTGAAGAATAGGTATTTGACATTATGCAGACTAGCTTAAATGGATAGTGATTGTCGACAATATTTTGAAAAAACGCAATAAAATGCCACATCCACCCTGACCCTACCTTAGTAACTATAGCGACCAATAAAATGGAAATGTGATGTCATAGAACAATGAAACTTTTCCAGTCTTATATCCAATGTACAAGTTGTATTATGTGAAAAAATTACATGGAAAGGGTTAATATTGATGAAATTAGAGCCAACGGTCCATTACTTTCTGATTACCCCTCGTATAAAAAAAACTCTGTTTTTAATATTTGGACTGAATCTTCAGATGAACAAATTGTAATGGTGGGTTACCAAATACAGCAGCCACATAACTTTTTTAAAATTATCATTAGCCTTGTATTGAGCGTATTTGATGGACATACGATGCTCCTGTGTACATGTAGCAATTTATTCATTATCAGATTTATGAGTTCTTATACTGTACCATGATACCAATACTTCTTGTATACGATATGCATTTACGTGTAAATAGTAAACCCGGCAGAACAATTCAATTTATGTGAATGCCACACAGATTCATCAAAAAAGACAGTTCTGCTCAAAACAAATTAAAAGCTTCCGTTAGTGAAAACTTGACCTTGAATACCTACTTCTGCAGCTATCACCATAGCAACGCTAGAGTCAGACATTCAGAATACCTTAACACTGATGCTAGATGTAATCATCGTGTATTTTAACTAATTTCTTGGAGTCGTTCAATGTTGAGATGAAGTATTGAAACATACCTCCATCTTTTTCCTGAAGAAGCTAAAACCCATGCCAAATAGTTTAAGGAATACCTAAAATAATCAATGAATTACTTAGATTCTTCCATTCACAAATTCCCAAGCAGTCTACATTCTGACGTTAAACATGAATTAACGTGACTTATCAATATAATAATCAAGTCTATTCTAATTAAAATGAATGACTTATATATGAATACAATTGCATTGATACTACATAATTGTATATAAACACAGCAGACTATTTGACTTAATTCAGTTAATTTTAATAATGATCATTTACATTGTATTACCTTACCTCGAGCACAAATACGCTAATGATCGAGAGACTGGAAAGATGGAATATGTGAGCTACTTCTTCCAGCGTAGAATGACTATGGTGATAATCATCATTATGTCCATAACAACCAGTTCCATTACTATGGCAACCATAAATATCACTGCCGTCACCATGTGAATTTACTTCCGTTATATTGAAAGTTGTACTTATATTGTAATCATATGTATGATTTGCGTCCATATTTCGTTTATCCCTATCATCCCTGAGCTTAATATTGCCTTGCAGGGTCAAATTGGCCCTTTCATCTTGCATATTGTAATCCAGTGGATCTCGGGGAACTGCCCCTGTACTATGGTTAACGCTCAAATTGCTAACTCTTAATATACCCGAGTCTGGTGTGCATAATTTACATAGTTTATTTAAATTAAACTGAGCATTTGGGGCAGCCTGGTAATGATATCCTTTTATGAGAGTTGAATTATATCCACTTGAGTTGTATGATTGGAGAAATTGTAATATCCGAGATACATTATATCCTCTGTATCCATAAAGTTGACCACTGTGCTCGACATGGATATAGTCTATCATCTTGTGGAGATTAAGTTCAGCCAATGTCGCCTTCTCTAAATTGAAACGTAACACAATATAAGTAGATATTTTATTTTATTAGATTAGTTATATTAGATTTTGTCGTTTGCTCAATGACATATCAATGACCATATGAATGCCAATCCTCTGAGTAAATGGTTCCAGAGAAATATTATATCCTAATCTCAAACCACCTAACCAATTATAGTTTGGAATGATAATTTTAAGCATCCAATATAAACTGGCTTCAATTACAGAACATCTAAGAGAGATACATACATGTATTTATCCCATACTTGGATGTGTTACAGGTTCATAAAGCAGGTTTGTAAAAACCTATATTTTCATCAGCGGGCAGATACAGCCTTACGTCCCGCTCCGAGCGGGCAGATATAGTATATCTGCCCGCTACGTCATAATCGCCATTCGCATATTGGTTAATTTTTGTAAAGTTCACATGTTGGAAATTTTCTGAACTGTGGCCAATTGAACAATGTGAACCAGATGACCAAGATTGGTATGGGATAAATAGATCATCCTATAGTCGATTCAGGATATTGCGATTATCCCTTGGCCAATATAATATATCTACTCTCGGGACATACGGCCCTCGGGCAGATATATTATATTTGCCTCGGGATAATTCCAATATCCTGAGCCTCATATAGGATAATCTCTATATATACACCTCTAATCTTTGGTTACTATTTTGCTGTTTACGGTTACGGGAAAATGATGTTAGTCAGTTAGGATTAAGAAACTTGAGAGAGAACACGTGTAGAGTTTTAAAGAATAAACGAAATGACATAACTTTGTTTCGTTGTAAATTGATCAATAGAATGAAAATTAGTCGGAAAGCGAGAACCCAACATGAATACAAGTCCATTTAATGTAAGAAAAGATCAGCCCTTTATTATATCAAATAGCATAATACAGAGCAGAATCAATCAGAGAAACAATAGTTTCAATAAAAGGAAAATAGCAAATTCTTGTGAACAAAGCGGAATCAATGGATGTCACCTGAGTTCACTCTGAAAGATCGGTACTCTGGGACAAATAACGTAGAAGTAAAGAGTGGCGTATTTTTTAATATTTCAGTTTATTTCGATCAATCATCAAATGTGTACATGAGAAAAATTGCCAAGGTTATTAGATAACATTAGCGGCAATTGTAACTATTTTGACAAAAAATATTGATTGATTAGGAAAATACACTGAACATTTGCAATAATATGGAATGTATTACTGTGTTTACTCTGCTTGTCCCACCCTCTACCTCAATTCTTTACGCTAGTTATTATTCGCCAATATAGATCTAATAAGCCATACCAGGATATTTCTGGCTTTTAAAAGAACATTCAATTGCAAGCTTCTTAGAGATAGAATAACATTTTGAGTCATACTGGGTTAACAAGGATCAATATGTTCTTAATAATATTGTTATTTCCTGTTACTGTTATAAACAAATGGGAAACCTCCGCTCTTATTGGTAATGACAATTACACTCCCCTCCCTAAGTTTGGCAACCTTAACTCCCCCATTGAACTACGTGTTTACGGTTGAATTTTTATTTACTTAACCGGCGATGGAATAACTTATAATATTGATGGAAACGTAACTTGACTTTATTTTCAATACCTCCAAATTTTCTCAATTTTTTTCCTCAATTACAATAGTTCGAAAATTGATGATAAATTTGATAAGTTTTTGAAAATCGTCATTCCCATGTTATTCAATGGGAAATTGAGGGTTCGGGGCAACTCAGAAATCAGGTTATCTTTTCAGTAAAAGATTCAGCAAAAAATATGTTTATATAAAAAATTGAATTGTCTAACTTTTTTGTACACTTTGTTTAGTTTATTTGATGAATACTAAAGTTACAGCGCCTCAAAGTCATTTTTGAAAATAATTTTTCGCCTCTTGTGTTATTTCAATGGGAGAGGTTTTTTGAAAAACAATTTTGACTTTAAAGCCCTATAACTTTGTTGAACCTGAAGAAACATATCATTTTTTGTTAAATTAAGTGCCTAACTAAAATGCCTAACTAATCTTTTTTTGCAAGGACTCGGATGGATGGATATTCTGTCATATGACTTGCAGCAAACCTACCATTTCCCATTGGATAACATGGGAATGTAGATTTTCAAAAATTCATCAAATTTATCATCAACTTTCGATTTATTGTAATTGAGGAAAAAATTGAGAAAATTTGAAGGTATTAGAAATAAAGTCAAATTACGTTTCCATTAATAGTATAAGTATTTTCATCGTAGGTTAAGTAAATAAAAGTTCAAAGGTAAAGAGGCTTTAACACGTAGTTCAATGGGGGAGCTAAGGTTGCCAAACTTATGGAGGGGAGAACGAACAAATAACAGATGGCATTGCGATTACACTATGCACTACTTGTGAATGCAAGTTGTAAAGTGCTCAAGGATCTCATTGAGTTAAACCTTTACTTTTGGTCGTTTGAGTAAGGTCAAGCCGATCCTTCCGATGATCGTCTAACAAAGAGCTACAGGGTGAATAATGCAGCTCATTTACTTTAGAATATCTATCTCAGTCATGATGGGATCTTCATGACTTAACTAGAAAGCGGCAACTCCACAGTGTTCCCAAAGAACACACTTTTCATGAATCTGTCGCAATGTTATATTTATCATTTACTCTACCCTTGATTAAATTATTGGCAGATATTTAAAGAGATATATTCCCGGCCAATATACATCTTTCCAACAAATATGAAGAAAATCGGTTCACTAGCACGCCCGGTGATCAGCAGAAATGAACGGAGGGAGGGGAGTAGCTGATTTTCGCTAGAAATTACAACAAATCTTGAAGATTTATTTTTTCAAAAGAAAGTTAACACTTTTTTGGCGCTCGAGACATGGAAATATATTAGTCTTCTAGGACTTTTTTGAACTGGTGGGCTTCTAAAATATAAGATCTATTACAAAAGGCGCATGGTCACCAACGTGCAAATGCAAATAATTTTGCTATAAATCAAGCAACAGAGGTCTACACGACCTGTTTTGAATAATTTTAAGTGACATATTATCACGAAAGTATTGTCATTGTTGAATTTGTATATTACGTTACCATACGATGTATAAAAAATAATCAAAAATAGTTAAAATAGAACGTGGGGGGGGCGTTAACGGAGGGGGAGTTATGTGTCTATAAGACATATCGTCCCTCCACTATTATAAGGTTCTATGTCTTGTTCATATTTGAGAAAACGGAGAACAAATATGTAGTTCCTCTATCTTTGAGATACAGTAAAATACAATGTTGACATGAATGCTTTGCGTCTGTAACACATCAGTGGAGAGGTTAAGCAAATACGGTTTTTCAAAACGTATACGTAAACGCAAAGTACATTGAATCAACATAGGATTGTATCGCTTTAGTCTACTTCAGATACCCGTTCAACTTCAAAGTTGCGTGTTTAGAACGGGAGATTTTAAATTTCCACGTTGCTATCAACGGGAATCATTATACTCATGTCTGTTGAATACTATCCTTGGAATTTTGATTTCGATGCAAAGTATAATTCTTTCTGAAGAAGATGATGTATGTAACGCATGATTTAACTCCAATAATCTTACGAAACGAGCTCGTTTAAAATATGTATTAAAAAACCAGCTATTGAACTTCATCAATGGCATACTATGTAATCATTACAAGCTATGGTGTAGTCTAAACAAACACTAGAGCTGAACGGCTATTTATGTGTGAACTCTACATGTATTTGTATAGGGCCGATTGATACGTTTAAGTTGCGTTTTGGATTTTATACGGTAGCTTAACCTCTCCAATGAGTTTTATTGACGGAGACGGAGAACAATTTTCTTACCCAGGAATGCAGGGCATTTCAATTAGATAAAGCTATATTTCAAGAAGCAAGACACATTAGTGCAAATGGTAACCTTTTATCTATCCAGATCATACATGATACGTCATTATAACATTTTTACAAAATTCTGTTACAAAAGGTGAGTGGCATTTTTTGTGTACAATCCAGGTGTGTTTTGTAATGCTCATAAAGGTGCATCTAGCTCAGCTAGTAATCTGAAACTTCCCGCGGAGCTGCTCCATAGAGTATAGTTTTACTATTCAAAAGTACAAGTCAGTAGTCAAGCACACAAATACGTTATGCAACATTATGTGGGTGGGTGGCATTTTGTGAACCCTTTGCATTCGTTGATTTCACTTCTTAAAGTTGTACTTAAACCAATGTCAAAATCTTATTAGCTTGTATTTAGCACAAATATCATCAATAACAGCAATACATTCGGGTTAAAAAGTTTTAATCCCCAAACACTGGCAATGTTTGCTGTTATATAACTTATGCAATCACATGCTTTCAATAGCGTTTCAGCTCGATTGATTTCGCACTCAATTCTCGAAATCGTTGTTCCCTCTTCAAAAGAGAAGACGCGAAAATCTTTCCTTATAAGGGCAAAATATTTCCCATGATGCAGTTCGCGGAGGAACAAATTTATACTTCCTTATTTTCCCTCGTAGGTTTAACATGGGGATTTTCACACCTATTTTTCAAACGATATATTCGTTCATATTCCCGTACGAGAGTACAGAAAAAATTATTAGAAACGATTGATCTCTCATTAATCTAAATAAAACAGCTATTTTTTTCATTGTATTAATTCATAGCGTGGTGAAAACGATGATTGAAAAGTGAGAAAATATTCCGGAAGAGAAGGTCACGTGATCGGTAGACTAGTCGCCATATTGTAAAAAACAATTCCATTCGACTTTCAATATAGTATTAAGTAGGAACAAGGGGTTCCCATGCACCCATAAGGTGTGAATAAGTTACATACATTTTTGTAATCCCTAGGGTGTCTATTTAATAAATTCATTTGTAAACATTGCCAACTCATGTCCCATAGTACTTTTATGTCGGCATTCAGTTACCATGGTTACGCATCTTTAGACATCTTACCTTGGTATATTAAATCATTTGTAGCTCTGTCATTATTTGGTCTATAGAAATGATATTGGTACCAAATTAAAC